CATACCAAATCCAGCAACATGAAAAAAAAGGAGAATTATGCACCATGGCCAAAAGGAATTGATTCCAGTAATGTAAGATTGGGTTATCATCTATAAGTAAACAAATAAATGTGATGTATCAATAAAGTACAAAAACTACATAATCATCTCAATAGAGCCAAGAAGCCCATTGAGCTAAATCCAACATTTAGTCATGAGAACAACTCTAACTAGACACACGGGAACTTCTTCAGTCTAAGTAAAGGCAGCTCAAAAACTCATACAGAGACTGAACGCTTGCCCTAAGATCAGGGAGTGGGCAACAATGTTTGCTCTTACCACTGTTACTCAACATTGTTTTAGAAGTTTCTAGTTAGTGTAATCAGATAGAAAAAAATGAGGTGCCCATATTGTAAAAGACAAATTAAAACTGTCCTTATTCACAGACAAAATGTTCTGTTTGTAGAAAATTCTAAGGAATGTGTGCCTGCGAGGGGGGGGAGGGTGACGGACACACGTAGGATAAACAGGGTTAGCAAGGTCAAAGGATAAAAGAACAAAATTTAAAAATCTATTTCCGTAGACTAACAATAGACAATCTGAAAATGAAATTAAGAAATGCAATTCAATTTTAAAATTACAATGAAGTAAAATATTTATGAATAAATGTAACAAATTAATACAAGACTTGTACATAAAAATTTACAAAGTATTTTAAAGAGAAAAGTAAAGAAGATTGACATAGAGATTCTTGTTCAGAGATTGCAAGGGTCAGTATTACTAAGATGACAATTCTCTACAAATTGAAAAACTCACTGCCATCAGGTTGACTTGACTCATATAGTTACCCCACAGGACAGCAGAACTGCCTCTGTGGGTTTCCAAGATTGCAACTCTTTAGAGGAGTAGAAAATCCTTTCTCTTACAGAGCTATCTGGTGGTTTCCAACTGCTGACCTTGTAGTTAGCAGCCCAACTCATAACCACTACACCGCCTCTTTCATGTCTAGGTAGAAATTACTGAATGCAGGGGCAGTGAGTTACCTAATGCGCCTCTTCTACCCACGGTCTTTAGTTGCCACCAATCTCTCTCTGCCTGGGTCTGGTATGGAGGTTGGGGAAGATACTGATAAGATTAATCTGCGACTGTGACCAGGGTTCATTGGGTGCCATCCTGTGGGGTATGACAATCAGAGGAGATCTTACTACAAGCAAGAGCCCAACGTGGAGCATGTCCTATGGACCCTGGGATCCTTGTACAGTGAACCTCCTGGATCCGGAGGACACTGCGACATCCAGACCAGCCACAGCAGAACCAGGGGCCAGAGCGTGAAATAGAGCAGTGGACTTCCCAGGGCGCAGAGCAGGTAACGCTGAGTGCTTTGGAGCTGGAGGGTGGGGTGCAGAGTGGGGTGCCTCTGGGAGCTGGGATTACTGACCCAAGGAGCTGATTGCTTTTGGGTTGAGGTTGACCGTGGAGAGGCTCACCTTTGGGCATTTGTTAGCTGCCCTCGAAGAACTCTGTAATACATCCCAGTGAACAAACAACGGCATCCTAAGCCTTTCTCCCCTGCTAACGTCCTCAATAAACCATTTAATCATGAATGCTGTCCGTGCATTCTGCATGGCCATTGCAATGAATGAACAGAAACTAGACATAAAAGCACACGAGTGCTGTTTGAGGGACGGAGCCCACCACAGAAGAGGAGGTGACCATTATCTGTAACACATTGCCCACACGTTGATTCTGACTCAGCCACCCTTCAGGACAGCGTTAGAACTGCCTCCCGGGGCTTCCAAGGCTGTGAACTTCAGGGCAGCAGACAAGCCCATCTTTCCCCTGGAAGCAACTGGTGGCTTAGGGATTCTGACTTACTGGTTGCCGGCCAAGTGCTTAAGCACTGGGACACCAAGACTCCTTAGCACTTATTAGTCCTTCATAAAGTTCTTTGATGGGTACTTGAAAGGCTTTGTACATTTGTGATGTTTTGCCATCCAACATGCCTTGCGCTGTTCACCATCTGCTTGCTGACAAAAGGTGATAGAGGAGCCGAACCAGGAATGGGGGCTAAGGTCCCTTCTCTGACTCTTCTGATGGCCATGATTCTGAGTAAGTTTCTTAACATACCCCAGGGTCAAGTGTACGAGCCCTGCTCACGGACTTGCTTGGGGGTTACGTGTCTAATGCTGTGTGAAGGCACATGGCAAATACCCAGAACTATTCAAATACGAGGAGGTTTCAAATGATTGGTGGGGAAAACAATGCACTATTTCCATGAACGTTTTGAAGCCTCTGATACAGGTTCTATACCTGAGGCCATGCTTCCGTCATGTGAAAGGGATGCTGGCTGTCTAAAGGCAGCGTGACTATAGAAGCTATAGGATTCACCTTGAATAACTGCATCCGTTTTTCAGCATTCTTTTTCAAAATGGAAACTCTGATCCTAAGATCTTTTTTTTTTTTTAAGATCTTATTTTTTTTTAAAGAACTAATCTTGAATTATCATGGTGTATATTTGCAACCTGAATGGAGTTGTTCATTCCTATGCTATTACCAGTTTTATACATATTTGGCATTTAAGTTATAGTCCATAGAATTTTGTATGCCCTTTATTGCATTAAAAACAGAGGTGGTTACAAAGGAGAAAGGAGCAACAATAATGCTTTCTATTTTCTTTATCATGTTCACATCCGTGCAGTAATTAGTTCTAACAGCAAAGCATTCATCTTTAGCGCATGTATTTCACATGTGTGAATAGCGCGTTCCATGTCCTTTACTGAGTTAAAAACAAAGGCAGTAGAAAGGTGACTGTACAAACAATAAAGCAATCTTTATAAAAAACAACAACAACCATATAACATTGTGTGTGTGTAGCCCCAAATACTTTAATCATATATATATTTTTTAGGAATCCTTGAGTTGTCACACCTAGTGCGTCTGGCTGCACTTCGTTCGTCGTATTTGGGACGTGGCACCTCTCATTCCCTTATCTGTGTTGTCCGGAGGAACATGATTCCAGGGGAGACGGCACAGTGAATTCCAAAATACTCCGTAGACCGGGAAGAGACTGCTGCTGGAGGTGTCATGTTTATTTTATCGTAACTCGACAGTAGAACAATTTAGTATGTTAATGCCGAAAAACAAATAGCTTTGTGGAATAAAATACTGTTTTCTGGCTGCCTAACAAACGATTTACTCAAGAATACAGAACAAAATTTCTCAGTTTCGTGAATGGGCTTTGTAAATATTTTGCCAGAGCTTTTTTTTTCTTTCTTTCTTCTTGGGGTGGGGGGAGACAAATTGAAAAAAAAAGTTTAAAAGCTATATGTGTCTATTTTGTTTCAGCTTGGTGTATTTATTAAGAGTGAATTCTGTGTGTCTTTGCAGCTCATCAATATGTGTATTTAGAAGTTTCTCGAGTTCTTTCGCTCGCTTCTCTTCTTCCAGAAGGAAATGCTGGGCAGCCAAAGAAGCTGGGACGGACATATCTGGGGGGGACTAAAGAGACAAAGAAAGACGGTTTAGGGAAGTGACGCAGAGCCTGTTTTCACTACATAGTCCCAGGCTTGATTCTGCCCCGACACTCACTACCACTCTGAATGAAACCCTCCTTCTAGCATCGACCCCCTGTACCAGTGTCCTGCAGCCAGGGCTAATGAACCCCCGGGGAACTGCAAACACCACGGCAGCGCCACATTGGAGGGCTTGAGGCATGAATGGTGCAGTGTCCAAGGGCAAAGGCAGAGAACATGTAATTGCTCTGGAGCCTGCCTGGAACACACGCCACCAATTTGCCAAGTCAATGATTCTTCTCTGAAAATTAGCAACTCCAATAGGTTAAACATTTTAATAGAAATGGGCAAAGAAGGGTTATATAAGGGGAAAATGAAGAATTGGTTTTACAAGGATGGTAATTGATCAAACTTTTGTCTGGAGTTGATATGTGGCACATGGGGGACACTGGCTCCTAGGAGGGAGAGCCCGAATGCTGGGGGTCTCAGGGGTGGGGTGTCTCCTGTGACCGGTCTAACCTGCACAGTAATAGGATGTGCTATGTATTAAGTGTGACCCGTTCAGTGTTCGTTTGCAAAAACAGCCACAAAAACACTTGTGGCTGAAGAAGAAAAGGCAAATATCCGTTGGTTTTACAGCATTCATTCCAAAAGAGGAGAGCTGGTGGTGCCGGTGGGTGAGAGTTGGACTGCGAACTACAAAGCCTGGTTCAGAGCCCTCAGCGCTCTGTGGGAGAAGATGACGCTTCCCGCTCCTGTGAGACGTACCGCCCTGGAAACCCCCACAGGGCCACGGGAGGAAATCAGCTCAATGGCAGTGGGTTGGGTTGGGTTCATTCCAAAACAAAACAAAACTTTTTAAGTCACTTTCAAAATATAAGCGGGAATTTTTATTTTAGTGTTATGTTCTGGGTTTTCCTTCCGTTCCTGTTTTGAAGAGGGAACAATCTGTAAACAGGTGAACCTTGTTGGAGGAGGATTCAGTTTGCTAGTTCGGCCCCTGCAAAAACATGGTATGGAATATGACAGATGGTAGTGGACTACTGTAGACCTAGTCACCTCGGCTGTAGCTGCTGGGCCAGAGACAGCATCTTGACTGTAGTAGAATATCGCAGCCCTGGCTATGTGATTGCTATTGATCTGACACAGAGAGTCTGTTTAATACCCCACAAGGAGGAGGATCAGAAGCAGTTAGCATTCACATGGATGGACGACAGTATCCATCCACAGTCTTGTTCCAATGCTATACTGCCAAAGTAAATTCCCACGGGGCTTGAGCTATTTGGGCATCTTGTATGAACATGAACATAAGTTTGAGAACACCATGGGCAAGAAATGGAAAGTATATAGAGGCCTTGGGAAGACAGACACACTGTGAAGGGTAAGAGATAAAATCCATCAAGCTGTAAGCATTTGGCACATTGGTGGCGATTTCAGAGGTGCCATGGCACGGCATACCACAGCACCCTCTTCTGAGTGAAGCACAAATGGATTCAACTTCCCTCATCTATCACGCCAACCCTGGGTGGGCCCCTTCGGAATCTGAAGGGAATATGGCCCCTACTGGGGAAGAGTGAGTCACCTGATCTGTTTTTCAGGTGACACAGAGGCTGTTTTTTGAGGTAGGCTCAGAGAAAGGCGGGCTCGGTAGCAAGTTCAGAATGGGGTACACAAGCAGCATTTCTGCTGGGGCCAAAAGACCTGGGAGCATCCTAACTAGAGGGGTCGCTAATAGAGAAAAATACCCTGTGGGGCTTCTGACAAGGTTCAGTGGACAAGCTGTGTTACAGACCCTTAGGATTCCTGAACAAGGCCAGGCCATCTGCAGTGGAAAAGGAAATTACTTGTAAAACAGCTCCTGCCATGCGACTGACCCCTAAAAGGCAGAGACTCTAATTGAGTAGACAGGTTGACTTCATCAGCTGATGTCACCCAGCCTCTGCGTCCGGCCACCTCCGTGAGAACTGCGCATGGGTCAATAGCATGGTCTCCCCTTCACCAAGGATCATCATCTTGCTACGGTTGCTATTGAATGGTTAACCTACTTAAAATAAAGATTACAGCGGAGCTCCTAGTATGACACCATCCCCCAAGGACACCAACCACCATTTTGGTGGCAATTTGGTGACATCATCTCCCTTAGACCTTCAAAAGGGCAATCTTTGTCCTGATCAGGATTGACACGGATTTTACGTATGGGTTTGCCTTTCCTGCATATGGAGTCTTGGTAAGCATATTATATACCAGAAAAGTTCACAGAATGATGGATTTATTGACACAGGACTCTGCTTAATGTTCAGGATCCTTCCTCGTTTATAATAAGGAGCCATGGTGCCATAATTATGCTTTGGGCTGCTAACCACAAGGTCAGCGGTTTGAAACCACCCGATGGACTACAGGGGAATGATGAGTCATTCTACTCCCATAAAGTTTTACAGTCTCAGAAACCCACAGGGACAGATCTTCCCTGTCCTATAGGGTCGCATTGAGTCTGAATTGGCTCAATGGCGTTGCATTTTTGGTCCTACTTTACAGTAAAGGAAGTGTGGCACTTCCATAATCTCCTGTCCACTTGAGTGAAGGGTTGGCGGTCGGAGCCTACCAATCAGGTCATAGTCAATGGTCCTCTGGGCATGGCTTTCTCTGGAGGATTCTGGGAACTCCTGTCTTCCTCCCAGGAGGCAGGACACACATACTCTCTGCTTTACTTTCCTATTGACAAGCCACATGGAGTTATGCTGATGGAGCCAGAGCCCTGGAGCTGGAGGAGCTATATGGAGACCTACGCCAGCACTGAGTTGCTTCCACTGCCACTGGATCCACAAGACTTTCCACCCACTGGCCCGTGATCTTCCTGCATTCGGCATCATTGTTGGCTGCTGACAGAGTCCTTGGCTGAACTGGAGCTTCCTGTCTCACTTGGGAAGTTGCAGTTTTCCACCCCTCCCCTGGCCTGCTTCCCAGAGAATGCCCCTTCTGAGAATGCCCTTTCAATGACTCACTTTCACAGGAGAATTAAAACTGTCACAAAGATTCAAGAACCGAAAAATATAAAAACCAAAATTAGGACCACTTCTCAATTTGTTTTATGAGGGTCAGGATAAGCATGGGATCAACATTTGAAAAGCACAGCAAAGGCAAATTATTGGCTTATTTCTATCAGAAGCATAAAGCAAAAATTCCACATCCAATGGCTAAGTGGGGTCTATTCCAAGAGTACAAGGTTGGTTTAATAATTTAAAATCAAGATAAAACATCACCTTTGCAGAGCAAAAGAAAAAACCCCTCATATATTTCAATAGATACAGGAAAAGCATTTGATAAAATCCAATATCTATTCATGGGGTAAAAAACAATCCAAACAAAATATAAAATATTTATAGCAAATATCATATGTAATGGTGAAAAAATGAAAGATTTGCCTTTGTGACTGAGAATTAGAGGAGGATGTTGGTAGTAGCATTTGCATTCAAATTTATTGGAGCTCCTAGTCAGTACAGTAAGCAAAAGAAGAAAAAATAAGTATCAAGACTTTAAAACATGAAATGAAACTATCATTACTTTGATTGTGACTATAGAATAGCCAACATAATCTACAAGACTGGAATAAGTGGTGCAGAGACAATTGAATATTTACATAGAAGAAGGTGATCTAGATCTCTGTCTCACACCGCACAAAAAATGACTTCCAGGTAGATTTGGGATCTACATGAAAAGCAAAGAACCCATATTCATAGAAGATGACACGGGATAATGCCTCTATACACTTGAGAAAGGGGAAAGCGTTTTTCACAGGCAGTAAAACAAGCCTCGAGAGGGAACAATAACATTAGGGAAGTTATGAACATCTTAGAATACTCAATCACTGCAGATCAAAAGGGCAGCATTCATCGGAGACAAAATGCAGGACAGGAAGCACAGGGAAGAGGAGGAATAAATGATGCTAGATTGTAGGCATTGCAACCAATGAGATGAAACAAAATGTGAATGAATTGCTGAATGGAAAACTGATCTGTGTTATAAACCTTCACTTAATTTATCATAAAAAGGTAAATGAAGGAAAATGTACAACAAAAAACAGGACACCAAATGTACTAACAATGAAAGAAATGATTCATTGAGTGAACTACCATGAAATTAGGAATTTCTGTTAATAAAAAATATCACTAAGAAAGTGAAGAAGCAAGTAAGAGTGGGAGAAGCTGTTTTCAGTTCATGTAACCAACAAAAGTCTTATATCTCTGGATATAAAGAACTCCTACAAATCACTTAAAATAAAGATAATCCAATAGAAAATTAATCAAGGAAATTGAACAAGCACTTCAAAAAGAAGGATATCAACATATAGTATTTTACGTGTGAAAAAATGCTGAACTATACATTAGGCAACAGATAACTTCTAGTTAAAACCACAATAGGTATTATTACACAGCAACCAGAATGGGTAACCATGAAAAGACTGGTAATACCAAGTGTTGGGAGGGATACAGAACAAAGATAACTCTTATGTGCTATTTACGGGGCAGTAATTGACTCAAATATTTAGGCGACCTGTTTGACAGGACCCCCAAAGCCAAACTTTCATATCTATAGCTACGTCTACAGCCACACCTGTCTGTCTGTCTGTCTGTTCTCAGTGGCACAGCAATTCAACTCTTAGGTCTATATTAAGTGGGCATGTGTACATACCAGGGGCTTCAAAAAGTTGATGGGAAAAAAGGAATGAAAAGATAAGGGAATTGTTTCCCTGTATTTTTAAAAGTCCCCTTGTATATGCATCACACGCATGGCACAAGTGTTTCAGCAGCATCGTTTGTGTTCGCTCCAAAGTGGAAATAACACACATGTCCATCGCCGTAGAATGGGTCAGCAAGTTGTAGTATCCCTGCATGTGTTATTTACATATCTTGGAGTACCACAGAGAAATAAAAATGAGTCACTGAAACAATGTGCATGATGAATCTCACAAACCTCGTGTTGAATCAAAGTAGCCAGACACAAAGGAACTCACACAGTGTGATTCTACTAGCTCAAATGTACAAGTGGAGAAAGCTCGTTCACGGTGTCCGAAGTCAGCACAGCGGCTCCTTGGGAGCAGGCAGAAGGGAGGACGAAGGGTCTTCTGGAGTGCTGGCCCTGCTCTGCCGATCTGAGTGGCTGCTGTTGATCTGAGCACACGGATGTGCTCCCCTTCTGGTAAGTCATCAAGCGGCCCACTTAGCATCTGAGCATGTTTTGGCAAGCATGTCTGAGGCAATAAAAAGATTTCTTTAAAAAGACACAGAGGATCACGTGTAGCTTGTGAGGGTCCAAGGAATGTGCACATTACCAGTGATTTGTGGTCAGCACCAGAGAGTAAGAATCACGAACGAAAATGCTATCTTTCCCTCCTAGCCAGGGATGGCCACATGAATCCTATTCAAGGAGCACCTTCTACAAATTTCAATCGCTGTGTACATCAGCGTATTGCTATCAGTGGTACGAGTGAAGCAATCACTCTTTAAAGGGGGAAAGATTCCAATAACCAGCCACTCACCAGTGGGAATACTTCGTCATCGCTCACCAAAGGGCTTGCCATTTCCTTGCTTTGGAACATCAAAGGCGGCAGTGGGGGCGTTGTGCTCGTGGCTGTCTCGCAGTCTTGGCTCAGGCTGAAAGAGGACGCAGGGTTATTGCTGCTCTCATGGCACAGGGTGGTGGACGGCGCAAAGGCCTTCCATGTTCCTGATGGCTCCCCAGGGGCCCCGGGGAGGGGACATCGCAAAGTCGTCTGGGCATCGGGGTATTTCTTTGAAAACGATTTTCCTGATGAATACGCTCTTCACTTCAGAAAACCTTATAACTGTTTTTTCTTTAAACCCATTCTGCTATTGTTATTGCCTATAATACCTCTTCGAGTCTTTCATTTTTTGTCATTTAATAACAAAAAACCCAATTTGTGAAAAATCTCAAAACACCTAATACAGATGTCCTTGACAGTTATTTTTAATTAAATATTTTTATTGGGGGCTCTTACATCTCTTATCACAATCCATATATTCATCTATTGTGTCCTTGACAGTTTTTTTTCTTTTAAATCATTTTATTGGGGGCTTGTACAACTCTTATCGCAATCCACACATACATCCATTGTGTCAAGCACATTTGTACATTTGTTGCCCTCATCATTCTCAAAACATTTGCTTTCTGCTTGAGCCCTTGGTATCAGCTCCTCATTTTTTCCCCCTCCCTCCCCGGGCCCCCCTCCTTCATAAACCTTGATAATTTATAGATTATTATTATTTTGTCATAACTTACACCATCCGAAGTCTCCCTTTACCCACTTCTCCACTGTTCATCCCCCAGGGAGGGAGTTACATGTAGTTCCTTGTAATTGGTTCCCCCTTTCTCCCTCACCTTCCCTCTACCCTCCCAGTATCGCCACTCTCACCACTGGTCCTGAAGGGATCATCTGCCCTGGATTCCCTGTGTTTCCAGTTCTCACCTGTACCAGTGTACATCCTCCGGTCCAGCCGGATTTGTAAGGTAGACAGTTTTAAACACATGCTCTTTTTCTTTTTTTCCGGTACACAACTTTACTGGCTCTCTTGAAAGAATTACATTTTATTTTGATGCCAGAACATGGCTTTGCATAATATCGATTATACTTTCTATAAAACCCAAATCAACCCAAACCTGAAACCCAAACTCACCCCCTTCGAGCTGATCCTGACTCCCAGCAACCCTATAGGGTAGCGTGGAACTGCCCTATAGGGGAGTGTGGAACTGCCCTATAGGGTAGCGTGGAACTGCCCTATAGGGGAGCGTGGAACTGCCCCTTCAGGGTCTCTAAGATTGGAAATACTCATGGGAGCAGACGCTTCATCTTTCTCCTTAGGAGAGGCTTTCTGGTTAGCAGCCCAAGGCTTAACCTACACTACGCCTGCCTCATGCCTATAGGGCTTCATCGTTTACAACACAGTTCCAATTGATGTAATTTCTTGGCTCCGCCACTTCTTTGCTGTGTGGCCGTGAGCAGGTTGCTTTCCGTCTGTGTGACCTTGATTTTTTTCCTCTGTATGAAATGACTGCTATCTGCCTAGAGTGCCGAATACACGGGAAGCATTCGGAACACAATTCCGGGCACACGGTAAGGGTTCAATAAAGATCGGGCATTGTGATTATTACATAGGTTAAAGCTCATGTCACTCAAAATCTCCTTACAACGTGGACATTATTCACAGATGAGGAAACGAAGGCTGCTTATCCAATCAGTTGCTTATTAAACAATATAAACGACGAGGAAGTAGTGCTTTTGGGTCAAGTCCAGGCTTTCTTGACTTCAAATCCTGTCACTTAGATGAAAGACATGATATGGAAGTGGATGCCTGTGCAAAGCGACCGGTTGGAAGGCGAGGCTCGATGGAACTTGTTTTTGTTTTGCTAACCATCCAACCAAATAAGTTAATGTACCCTAAATTTTTGCACAAAAGGATCTTAACAGTGTAGGCTGTTTGAGAATTATATTTCCTGAACATTAATTCATGAAAATAGGTATAAATTTAATAAAAATAATCAGACCAAGGACTTATAAAAATACCATCCATGTAAGTAACTAGTTTTAATAATCAAACTCTCCATAGTCCATATGAACCATTTACAAAGCCTTTCTTTATATTTTAATTTGACAGCTAAAGAAAATCATATTATTTTTCTGTTCGTATCCCCAAACTATCTATATACAATGGTTTCTTATTATGCAAACATTTTCAAAGCTATGCATACAAATAGCAATAAAAGTTAAGTGAGGCATCTGTAAATTTGTACATAAAACAAACAACATGTTTCCATTTTTACTTATCTTAAAATACATCTTTTTTTTAAAACTCATTCTCACAAACCATAATTACCATGGAAACAGAACAGCAAATTAAATTCAAATACATGGTTTATGATGTGCACAATAAGATGAAACATCCCACAATTCAAATAGAATTACAACAATTGCATGGTGCCTTTGCAAATAATCTTTAGCTGAACCTTTTAATTTGAATGAGGCTACCATCTACATTTCAAAGAAATATATATCTCTTCATAATTTCAATTATATAGAGATGTCAGGCAAAGCATTATTTATCCTAAATTATCTAAATAATTATCTCAATTTTCCATTTTGCTTTGGATGTATAGGTACAGTTTTATGGTGTTAATTACTAAAATTTATATAGGAACATTCTCTTTATTATAAGATCAATAAAAAATAGAGATGGTAAAGAAAGGACTAGATTAGTACTTTGCTTTAAATCATCTTTATATCTGACGAGTTCTTATTCTAGACTATAGCTGTTCAAATGCTTCATAAAACCACCTTGCATAAAATGCTAAGTATATCAATTTAAAAGCTATCTAAAAGATTCTTTCCGAAGGCTTGAGTATCTTGTCGCAGCTCAGGTCCACCGTGCTTTTCGGCAGGCTTTTCCCAAGGCCTTTTGTTGTTTCGCTGTTGGGCGCCATCCAGTGGGTTCTGACCCATCGGGACCCTGTGCACAACAGAAGGAAACACTACATCCTCCTCACAATCATTCCCACGCCCCAGTCCATTGTCGTAGTGCCAGAGTGTCGATCCTTCTGGTGGACAGCCTCCACCTTCTGATTGCTGCGCCTCCATTGTACCCAGCATGATGTCTTTCTCCAGGGACTGGTCTCTCCTAACAACATTTCCAAAGTGTGTGAGACGAAATCTTGTCATCCTTGCCTCTAAGGAGCACTCCGGCTGTTACTTCTTCCATGACAGATTTGTTTGTCCGTAGTGTTTTCAACATAGTTCTCCAGTGTCACAATTCAAACGCATCAGTTCTTCCTCAGTCTTCCTTACTCAGTGTCCAACTTTCACACGCAGATGAGGCGATGGAAAATCCCATGGCTTGGGTCAGGTGCACCTTAGTCCTCAAAGGAACATTCTGGCTTTTTAATACTCGGAAAAGGTCTCGTGCAGCAGATTTACCTAATGCAACCCTTCTTGATCTCTTGACTGCTGCTTCCATGAACTTGGATTGTGGATCCAAGCAAGCCCAAATCCTTGACAATCTCAATCTTTTCTCCATTTATCATGATGTTACCTGTTGGTCCAATTGTGAGGATTTTGGTCATCTTTACATGAAGGCTACAATCCGTGATCTTCATCAGCAAGTGCTGTAAATCCTCCTCGCTTTCAGCAAGCGAGCTGTGTCATCTGCATATCGAAGGGTGTTAAGGCTTCTTCCCATCCTGATGCCACATTCTTCATCTAATCGAGCTTCTCTGATCATTTTCTCTGCATACGGGTTGAGTAATAATGTGAGAGGATACAGCCCTGACACATACCCCTTTCCTAATTTTAAAACATGCACCATTCCCTTGTTCTGTTTGCACACCTGCCTCTTTCTTGATCCACCTGTTCTTCCCCAAAGGGCAGGATCCAGTTACTTGATTGGGGCGCAGAACTCCATGCCTTTGAGACTTGAGTAGACTCTGCAACAGTTTCCAGAGTTTTCTGAGGTGTGCATCCAATCATGTCCTTGCTTTGATTCCCCCTGGGCTAGAGGGGAATGCCCTCAGCATGGAAGAGGAGCCCAGCACAGCCTCTGCTAATTTACCCTTTTCCAGCCTCGACTTCTAACACGCCATACAATTCTCCCAGTTTTGTCAGTAGTTCCCCGGTCTAGACCTGTTCAAACTTCTATCTCTGGTTCTTTATTACGCAAAGCTATGGTACGTTTTTTCTCAACTTGCTTTGGGCTCCCAGAAGACATTTCTTTCTTTTCTTTTTCTTTTTGTTGGGGAGAGAGAAGAGACCCCATAGTGGTTAGGACATACCTGCTGACTCAGTGTGTGTTTTTTCAAGTAACAGAAAATTTATTAACTAGGGTTGAAGCTGTTTTAATGATTAATGTTTGTGACTGCCAACAGCTTAACCAATATAATATGATAAAACTTTTAAAACCATAAATTCAGTTTTAACTATGTATTAGTAGCTCACATAGATAAAATATTACTTATTACAAAATCGGTTTGCCATTAAAATTAGTTATATATTAATAGCTCTGGATGTCATTAGTCCAAATTAGTTTGTAAATTATCCTTAAAACTTCAAAATTAGAATCTAAAGTATATTCGACACATTCTCACCAAATTCAATTATAACTCACTCATAATTTTTTTAAAGTATTAAGTAACTATCTTATTGGAAAACAAATCTTAAGGGATATCTGAAAATGCATCAGGGGATAGACATTAAACACTTCTTAACTTCACTCTAACCGGTGTAAAACAACATAAATCAAACTACTTCAAAGTGGATGGAAGATTATATGAATAATATGGTGCTCAAATCCTCAGGAGAGAGAGCTAAAAATTATACTTCAGGCTTGAGAAGTTTATTGAACAGTATCTTCAGTATACATGTACCTGAAAGTTTTCTTTCCCCTTATTAATTAAGAAGCTAATTGCATATGTATGTAGAAATAACTTATACATGGGGGCTTCAAGAGGTTCGTGGAAAAATGGAATTAAAACATAATGGCATTTTCCCACGAGCTTTTTCAAGCCCCCTCGTATATTAATTTGTATTTTGGATGAATTTATGCCTAGTAAATAGATATCGCATTTCCAGTCTGACTGTGGCTGTGTGAGGGAGAGAAAGGGCGTTTCATTTTTTACTTGTTAAAATTAATAGAGAGAGCTGTGTCTTAGCGTCCTCCCCTCTGGTGAGCCCCTGTCCTTGCAGCCTGACAACTCTTTCCTGTCGGGGGTTTTATGTGATAATAATTTATTCAGAACATTTGAAATGCCGTTTCTTTTAAAAACCAGGTCACAGGAGAACACTGAAATCAGACAAGGCATTAAAACAAATTTAATGAAACTTTGAACAAATGCAGCTGGCAGGACACGGGGCTCCGCAGCAGAAATAGTCCTTCAAACTGCTTATTAAGACACTCTCCCGCTGAGCTCTTTACCTCCTGTGCCGGCGCCGGGTCCCTACTGCCTGATTTTTGTCAGGCACGTTCAACACGTTCTGCTGTGCCTCACAAAACAGGAAAGAAGAGGGCATTCCAAACATAAAATACTTAAACAAAATAACAAAGCAGGGTCTTTTTGTTTACCTAACACCACCTGGCACCCTCAACTAAGGCTTTCAAGGTTGTTCCAAACCAGCCAGAATAGAAAGCCATGTCCGGCCACATAGTGAATGGATCAGTGCAGGGCACATCTAACGCACACAAGACTCCTCCTCGTCTCTTTGGGGTGGATTTTCTTTCACACTGAGAGAATGATAAAGTGTGTGTGTGGTGTGGATGTAATTAGACTCATAAAGAACCGAAACCATAGGATTGGGAGATACTTTATAAAGAAAGTACATTAGAAAACATATTCTTCCACCCACATCAAGAATGGGCCCCTTTGGACTGTGTTCCATTTTATTGGCCAGTCAACGGGGGCACATTCCCCAGGGCCCTGTTTGTATCCTCCTCACACCCTTTCTGCCCTGTGGCTGCCACCACCGGGGGCATCATTCCCACCATCAGGACCTTTCCTGCAGGTAGCAGCCACCCCCTCCTCATTTTCTTCCACTTGACGGCTGAGCACTTCTGAGCGGCTGCTGTTCCGGCACCGGACAAGAACATCTCCTAAGACATAGCAGGCGGAGCCAGCAGAGGTGGGGCAGAGCTACACAACACTCAGAAGATTGTGAACCAACATTTTAGAAAATGGCCTCTGAATTTATAACTTTATCTGGTGGCACTTTTGGGTACTTTAGACTGCTAACCACAGGTTGGAGGTTCAAACCCAGGCGAAAAATGAGGCTATAGGCTCCCATAAAAGACTTAGAACCTCAGAAAGTCGATAGAGGGCCGCTATGAGTCAGAACCGACTCAATGGCAGTGGGTTTGTAGAACTGGCTGCTCGCTTACAAAGATGACCTTGGTGTGTCACCTCTACCCCCCACGACTGTCTGAGGATGTGTCACAGTCAGGCATTTAGATGTCTATCAAAATATACTTAGCAGCACTATAAATTAATAGAGAAGTATTACAATTATTATAATAATACTTTTGTTATCACCAATAGTTATGATAGTGGGTAATACTTATGAAACTCTGTTTTCTGTGAATTTTCTCCCATAAGCCTCACCAAATCCCATGTGTTAGATGGAAAATTGGGGCACATTAAGGTTGGTTCTGAGGACGAATTTCCTAAGATTTTAAATGCTACAGGATATGAAAGCAATGTTTAAGGTCTTTCCAGGTTAATAATGTGAGGTTTCTGAGAAAAGTTGGCTCTGAACCGATGGGTTCAGCACTTCTCAGGACCCTGGGACGTGGGCGCCTCTGCTGTCAGGTGAGTTTAGGGAGTGCTGGACGCCAGGGCCCTTGCTGCGGGCCCACCAGACATACTGGCACATTCATGGCTCTGGGGAGCCTTGCCAATAAGAAACTTGTTTCATTTGTTTTTCTGCACATTTTTCAGGGTTGGGAAAACAGTGAAAGGCCTCCAGAAACAGTACAACCCCACAAATCTTTAATTAAAAATGGAATAAATGATTACAGTCTTAGGATTGACATATTTACTCAAGGTTGGAATGGAGATAGCTAAAAACTATGGAGATAGTGTGGACATGGATACTGATTTTCCAAAGGCTTCTCTTCACTCACAGAACACCTCTTTTACATCCAGAGATTCCTCCCAAGCACCGAGGCGCTGGAAGGTGAAATGTGTAGGAGTCTGTGGTCACTGCAGCAGGGGCCATCACATAGAAATGTTTACTCCTGAAACTGAGTCAGGAAGGACAGCGCCCTGCACTGCTTATCTGGATATATTGATACTGATAGATATGAAATATGTATCTAATGTATTTATTTGGTTCTATATATTAAATGTATATTTAATATATAAAAATTATACGCTAAAATCTGATTTTCTTTGCTCCCATGACACAAAACAGCAAGTTAATGTTACTTATTTTCATATTTTATATACCCAGATTCCAAGATGGGTCTGAAGTAGCAAATAAAGTCCATTATAACACCCTACCCATTTCATGGCTATATATTTGTGCTTCTCATACAAATTTAAAAGACTTTTTAAATACTAGGGATAATAATGCATTGTTTCTTAAATCAGTCCAAAATATCTTTCACTCTAAGTTATTTCAAAAGCATTATCGCTATAAAATAATCGCTAAAGGATTAAAGAGAATTAAACGATAATTTAAATGCTTTAAAATTCATTTCCATTACAGCACTATAAACGTCTATTTTAATGTAACGAGTCAGCTTACCTATCTTCGTTTTCTTTCATTTTCATTGGGCTTTGGTAGCCGTGCCTCACGCTATCTGCATATATATTTTGATTCGTCCATGCTGATTTTCCATTGCCATGAAGTTTTGCAAGATCATTTCGGAGCCTTTCATTCTCATACTCCAGTTTGTTAATCGATGTGTACCTTGTGTGCTCCTTGG